ATATATATATATATATATATATATATATATATAGGCCTTTTATTCTTTTCATCCCTTCCTCTGTAGCAACTCCTTATTCGTCTATTTAAAGCTAATCGCTTGACTTTGAACATATCAGGTGTGAACCAGTGTTAATCAGAAACTACTTCAATTACTTTTACTATTTTACTAATTAATTTTAAATCGGTCGCTTTTGGCTATAGGGCAACACCTGAATGGGTTTGCTGACAAAGAGGGTTGGACAGTTGGTTTGATTTGCAAATAAACCCACGTGACATCAATTTGACCGGCGTCACGTGACCTTCTGGCAGCTTGCCCTCCGTGCTTCAGGGTTGTTTAAAGATGCTGCCCTGTCTGCTAATGTCACCAGTTAGACAGAGACGATAAACAAAGGACACAATAAGGTAAGGACATGTTTCTGTTTTTAACGTTACGTTTAAAGAAGAATAATAAGAAGGACTGGGCTGGTTGTGGTAAATCAGCTAGAACAGCTATCCTGTTATAATTCCATTTTAATTATTATTTCTCATATATGCATGAACTGAATGTGTTCAATGTGTTCATTACAAAGCGGAGCGGGGAAATATCTCCGTAAAAAAGACGGTGATCGTGTCTCAGATTCTGCTGTGCTCTACGTTAGAAAAACAGGATATGTCGCTTCTCATCCAATCGATTACAAAATGCTTTAGGTTTATTCCAGTTCCAGTCATTCACTATGCCAGATATACTTTATGAACAATGGATTTATAAGAGCTATATTCTTTAGTTCATCGCTCCATAATCTTACCCACAGTAACGTTACAGGCTACACTTTTGTTGAACAGCTGATAGGCTTGCGGGGACAACCTAGCGTTAAAGTCTCCTAATGCATGTCATGTAGTTTCAGACACTTGTGCAGTTTTATTTGTTTATTTATTTTTGTGTCAGCCGATTACATGTAATATATCTTATTCTGTATAGAGCCCGACCTTTCTTTTCTTTACTTTAACGCGACTGAAGTGCGTCTTGTCGTAACAAAGAGGGTTGCCAAGTATGAACTTGTTTTGATCGCAGGGTGCCAAGTCGATGAGGTTGTTTTTGAGTGATTTTTAAAATCAGCTTTTGTTTCTTATTTTGTTTATAAGACGCGTTTAGTTTTAATAAACAAAAGAAGATGTAGGTATTAAAAAGAATACCTACATAAACAATGATTATCTAGCCTATTGGGTAACACTTTACTTGAAGGGGTGTGCATAAGACTGACATGACACTATTGTTAGGCTATGTGTCGACAAAATGGAAAAAAAATTGAGAACAGTGCAAGATGATAAATGTAATTATGTGTACTATTTTAAAACTGCTTAATAAGGAATAACAAACAAACAATATTAAAAGGATGTATGTGAAACCACTCACTGTCATGGACCTTATTCAGCTTATTTTATTAGACACGAATGACAATGAGGCTGTAAGGACAGACAAACAGACCGGGTGTTGATCACTCAGCTGATGCAACATGGAAAATGCATCTTTCCAAAACATTTTTTTTTTCTCTTTCCGAAAGATCCCTTGAACAACACCCATTCATTCAAACACACACTACATTGTTTGTACTTCCATTTAAATATTTATCTGTATGGATTAAACATCTTATCTTGCACTTTTGTCAGTCTGTATCAAATAGATAAGAGCACACTAAGAAAAAAACACCAAGAGCATCAATCAAAAGCTTGACAGGTTCCCACAAAAAATGGCTCTGCTCATTCAAAGTCGAAACTAAAATGATGTCATTGAGTTTCCAAGGCAACGATAGTGGACTGCCCTTTACCACTGTATACTGATGTATCATGAGTGCAGATGTTTTTGTGAATGTTGCAGTTCTGGGAAACATCTTCTAGGATGGGAAACAAGCCTCAGGGAAGGAAAGCTCTCTGGGGAGAATTTGGGAACAATTTAATCAGTGCTTGTTTAACAATTGCACGCTATATTATGTATTAATTTAAAATGATCTACCCTCTATTTGAAAGACAAGCAAAGAGGACTGTTGGTTTTCAGACACACTTAGTGTAATGAGTGTTTTACAAGGATGAATGTTAAAGTGAGTGGTTCAAGTAAAATAATCAGAGGAATGTGCTATCAGCTGTCCACAATAAGAGAGGTGGCTGCAGTGGACACGTCATGCTTAATCATTTATAGAGGGTCAACAAACAGCAAGTCAGAAGTAAATGTGTGATTTCCGTCATTTAGATACCCATAATAGACCCCCACTGAGCTCAGGATTAAATGTATATTTTTAGCTTCTGAGTGGAAGATGGGTTATGAACATGTTTGACCAAAGAAATACTTTCTTGTTTACGTAATCCCAATGATGCAATCTTCACACTAGCTTTTCGTCAGTTAGCAACGGCACGTTTTGCATGTATGTAATATATTTATCACACTGGCCTGTACTGACTTCACACCATCAGTAGACATTGGAGGCCAGATGTGACTTTTTAAATTATGTGTGGGTAATTGCATGATCTCCAGTGTTATCTTGCAGTAGCAAATATGCACAAAATATTTTGTCCCAAAATGAATATCCTGTCAATATTTAGTCGCCCTCGTGTCATTCCAAACCTGTATGGCTTTCTTTCTTCAGTGGAACACAAAAGAAGACATTTTGAAGAATGTTTCTTAGAAGAACTGTTTTTGTCCATACATTGAGAGTCAGTGGGGTCCAAAACAACTCTGAACCCCATTTGTAGTGTTATTATTGTAATATTTTATTTATATACTGTTATAGTATTTAATATTTTGAATTGGTGTTTATATATTTTTATAAATGAGTGTTTATACATGTTGTCATTTTATTATTTTCATTTTAATTTTAGTCTAACTTTTAGTTATTTGATCATTTTTTAAATACTTCTATTTAGCTTTAGTTCATTAATTTGATCATTTTAATACTTCAACCTTTTTTTAGTTCTGTTAGTTAGCAAGACAACATTTTAGGTTTAAGTCTTTTGTTTACTGTTTATATTTTATTCTATTATTTATTAGTTTTTTATTTATGCTTTATTTCAATTACCAAAAAAAATAAAAAATAAATGTTGTTAGTTTAACAACACTATCCCATTGACTTTCACTGTATGGGCAAAAAACAACAAAAAACACTGAGACAGTTTTCAAAATATCTTCTTTTGTGTTCCACTAAAGAAAGAAAGTCATGGAATGACATGAGGGTGAGTAATGATGACTGAATTTTCATTTTGCAGTGAAATATCTTTTTAAGCAACAGCTATTGTTCCTAATATAACTTCAGTTTTTCTGCTCTCTGTCAGGTTGGATCAGGCCGACGAGGGCCCCTTCTTTCTCCACGTGGCAACACGTACACCTGTGGACAGGATGGCGAACGACACTAAATCCAGAAATCTGAATGGCCAGCCTGTGGGTTCCGCAGCCCTTTCAAAACCCAAAGAGAGCATGCAGCTCAAAAAGGAAATCTCTCTTCTGAACGGCATCAGCCTCATCGTGGGGAACATGATTGGCTCAGGCATATTTGTGTCGCCAAAGGGTGTTCTGATCTACAGCGCCTCCTATGGACTGTCTCTTGTTATCTGGGCCATCGGTGGCATCTTTTCAGTAGTGGGTGCACTCTGTTATGCAGAGCTGGGCACAACAATCACTAAGTCTGGTGCCAGCTACGCCTACATCCTGGAGTCGTTCGGAGGCTTCATAGCGTTTATACGTCTGTGGACATCGCTGCTTATCATCGAACCGACAGGCCAAGCTGTAATTGCCATAACTTTTGCCAACTACTTGGTTCAGCCGCTCTTCCCCACCTGCGAGCCTCCATATTCTGCTTCTCGGCTTATTGCTGCTGCTTGTATTTGTGAGTAACGTGTACATGCTGTTGCTCTACACCCTTGTTTTTCCCATTCTTTAAATTTCTTGTCTATCTCACTCTGTTTTTCTTTCTACACATTAAGGTCTAACTTTAAAAATGTCATGGGGTAGTTAATGACTAACTTGTTTTTGAGTACAGGGAGCCCGTTCCTCTGGTTCTGTGGTGCCTCTCCTCATATTCCTGTTTCACTTGGATACCTTCAGCAGCGTCATTAGACATGCCACTCTAAAAGAGGAAAACATTACAGTTGCCATGACTGCAATCAAACTTCTACTGCTCCCCACTAATCCATTCAAGTATTGATTGTTTTTTTAAATTGCTGTCTTTCGGGAGTAACGGATGTTGTGTTGTTGTCAAAAACACAGTCAGCATTCCATTGTAGTCATTCACTTTAAGGCTAGAATGCATTGCATCACTTTTAAAATCAGAGCATGTTTTAAAACACTAGGCATCATACACTTGCAGACTTTGTAAAAGGCTACAGAGAAAAATTGAGCATCATACGCTGAAAGCCTGAGGATCACACACTACTAGACTGTCATTCGGAAAACAAAAATGAATAGAGAAACATGCACCTCTTTTCTAGGAGACGCACAACAAAGTAAATCAATGTGATCTTACTATGGCTCAAAATATCAAACATGTTTGATCTCCGACTGGATGGAATCATAGTCTAAAGCTAAAAAAAACAGGAGTCTGTGCCCACCAATATACTTGAAATCTGTCAACTCCGATTGCTTAAAATCTGCAGACTGACTTTCAGCAACTAGTGTTGACTCGTCCAGACTCCAAATCGGGGCACAAATCTGTGCAAAACTGTGTAGAGTATTCCTGCCTTGTCAGAGTACTTGTCAATATATATATATTTTTCTTATGCTAACATGCTTACTATTCACGATATTGCAGGCCTGCTCACCTTTATTAATTCCGCTTCTGTCAAGTGGGGTACCAGGGTGCAGGATGTCTTCACTTACGCCAAAGTGCTGACCCTCATCGTCATTATCATCACAGGGATAGTGAAACTGTGCCAAGGTAAAAAATGCACTTGGGATTTTTAAGATGTTTTTGCAAATGTTTTGCTTGTTTGTGTCCAGGCCAAATGTTGCGCTCTCATGAGCTCTGAATCATTTTACAGGGATAGACACTCAAAAATGAAAATTCCCTCATTATTTATTCACCCTCATGTCACTCCAATCCTGTCCTGTCCTGTCCTGTTTTTTTATATTCTGCAGAAGAAAGAAAATCATACAGGCTTGAAATTACGTAAAGAATTTTGACAGAATTATAACATTTGGGGTGAACTATCCCTTTAAGGCTTGAATTACGGTTTCTCTCATTAGCTATTTTAAAAATTGTATTTCCTTAGTTTATTTAACAGGGACAGTGCATACTAATAAGCATAACTGTAAATGTGCAAGAATTAGCCTAAAGGCTATTTTTCTTTTGTAGTCGCTGAGCAGAATGTACAAACATCAATTATGCAAGAGTATGTTAGATATGTAAATCCATCTAACAATAAGAAAACCACAATACAACATGCATTCCCACACATACTGATCTTGAAAAGTTGTTAACCGTTACTGTACTTTTGTAATGTTTCTCACACAGGTTTCTCAATGAACTTTGAGGATTCTTTCCAAGGCTCGTCTCGCGACCCAGGAGATATCGCTTTGGCCTTGTACTCGGCTCTTTTCTCATACTCGGGCTGGGACACTCTTAACTTTGTCACAGAAGAGATTAAGAACCCTGAAAGGTACTTCTTTGAGACAAACTTGATCCTCAGTTCCTGTTGTGAAGATACAGTATGTAAAAATAGGTACTCGTATGATAGCTAACACATCTGTCCATGCATGTCCCAGGAACCTTCCTCTCTCCATTGCAATCTCCATGCCGATTGTTACAATCATCTACATCCTCACAAACGTGGCCTATTATGCTGTGCTGGACATGAGTGCCATCCTCGCCAGTGATGCTGTCGCTGTGGTGAGTTCATAGTCTTCTGTGCTGTCATAATGTTTGTAGAGTCTTTAGTGTAACAGCTAATGTTTCCTAATTGTCCCACAGACGTTTGCAGACCACACTCTGGGAGTGATGAGTTGGAGCATCCCTATTGCGGTTGCTTTATCCTGTTACGGAGGTCTTAATGCTTCCATCATTGCTGCATCCAGGTCAGTCTGAAGCTTGATGTCTACATAGCATCACAGAACACTAGCTTTAGTCTTTTCTCTCATTTTCCTGTCTATAGAGACCAATTTGGAGCCGTGTTGGTATTACGTGTTTTGAAAATGGCCATCTACAGTTGCTCTGGCTTTATGGTTTTATTATTCCACTTGAACCTCTGCTTTGTTCCTCAAGTTTATTCTTAATGACTGGTGTTAACCTCCAGGAGGAGGAACAAAGCTTAGTTCAGCTCCTGTGGTTTTTATAGGGAGCTACTCTATTGCTCACACCATCTGGAGCAGCTTTGCGGTAATGACCGTGTGGGGGTTCACGCCACTATTCCATGTGTCAGATAATGTGGTGTGCTGAGGATTTTTGGGAGTGATGAGAAAACCTACATCCAGTGCTGATGGGAATTCAGAAGATCTGAGAACTTAAATTCCTGTTTATACTTACTGCACTTGTTTGTTCATGTGTTTTATGTATGATATAAAAGTATATGTAGGAAATTTTCGAATACAATTGATTTTAAGGTCAACAATGTGTAAATAAGTAAGAAACTAATTTTCTTACAATCTTGATGTTTTGTATCTTTTGTCTTTTTTTCATGCACTTATTTCAATTGATTTGAATTCTCAGTACTTTTGATTAAATGCAGTGTTATTTTAATATCATTGATATACCATTGTAGATTTTATTATATTTCAAATTAGTTGTATTGTTTTCATTTAATTGAAAAGTTTTAGTAGTTTTGTTGTGTGTCATTTTTATTAGTTTTTATTAATGTCTGTACTGAAATATGTATTTATTTCAGTTTTACTTATTTTAGGACATCAAGTTAAACTAAATTAAAATTAAACGTTGCCTTGGCAACTAGCTGAAATAAAAAAACGTTACAATTTTGTATTTTTTATTTCAGTTATTATGGTTTTAATTAACTATATTAATCCTGATTAGGTGCACTTACAGATGATGCATATACATTTGAAGAAAGAGTGAGTCTCTTGCTGCTGCAGGTTGTTCTTCGTGGGAGCTCGAGAAGGTCACCTTCCAGATGCTTTGTCTATGATTCACGTGGAGAGATTCACACCGGTTCCAGCTCTGCTATTTAATGCAAGTGCATTTCAGTTACAATTAACACCAATTGCATCATAACATTTTTTTTTTTTTTTTTTTTTTTGGCAATATGATTTCCTGTGACTTTTGCTTCCTTTTAAAAAATATTTAAATTAATATACGAATATTATACTAATACCAATATTATAATAATATGAAATATATATTTTATGTATTTATACATTTTTAAAGTTCCTCTTATGTACTACATTTAGCTTTCGAGACATAGATGCAATTGTAGAGTGTCTCCGTCTGGGACATTTAATGTTTTCTATCTCCATCTAGTGGACCAAGTCACTTAGATTGTGCTTTCTGTCTGCAGTGTGCCATGGCTCTGATCTATCTTACAGTGGAGGATGTTTTCCAGCTGATTAACTATTACAGCTTCAGTTACTGGTTTTTCGTTGGCCTATCTATTGCCGGGCAGATCTACCTTCGCTGGAAAGAGCCGGACAGGCCCCGACCACTGAAGGTGAGGAAGTACAGACTGTTCAGATGAAATAAAAATGTTTTAATAATAACATGCAAAAGTATGTGTGATCAATTACAGTGTATTTTGAACACATAAACCCATTACAAACAGCTATACTGCTATATTCACTACGGTTCAACAGTTTGAGGTTTGTACATTTAAAAAATATATACTTTTATTTAGCATTAAGACTTTTATTCAGTGAAGACATTCAATTTATCAAAAGTGACTAAAGACATTTACATTGTTACAAAAGATTCCTGTTTCAAATAAATGCTGTTTTTTTTTTAACTTAGTTGATGATAAAAGAATCCATGATAAAGTGTATCATGGGTTCTACAAAAATAATTCCACTGCACAACTATTTTTTTTTAAAAATTGATAAGAATTGTTTTTGAGCACCAAATCAGCAAATTAGAATTATTTCTGAAGAATCATGTGACACTGAAGACTGCCGTAATGGATGCTGAAAATTCAGCTTTGCCATCACAGGAATAAATTATATTTTAAAATGTATTCAAACAGAAATCAGTTATTTTAAATTGTAATAATATTTCATCATATTACTGTTTTTACAGTTTTTTTTTTTTTTGGATCAAATAAATGCAGCCTTGGTGAACAATATGAGACTTATTACTGACCCCAAACTTTTGAACGTTAGTGTAAATAACTGGTTAGTTAGGACTGGTTCAGAATCTTGAAATAATATCATTGAGAAGGGGAAATTGAAACGACAGATTTCAGACAAGCTTTCTAGATTGAGTTTCCACCTTAATATCAGGTGCAATTTTGTGACACTGCATGTGAATTAATGTTGCTTTCCTCTCTTCTTTGTGCATATAGTTGAGTCTACTGTATCCCATCATCTTCTGCATGTGTGTTGTGTTCCTGGTGGCTGTGCCACTTTATTCTGACACACTCAACTCATTCATTGGAATTGCTATTGCCCTCTCTGGAGTGCCTGTTTACTTCTTGGGTATCTATCTTCCAGAGTCCAAGCGGCCACCCATCATCACTAAACTGTTATGTAAGTACCACAGCCTTTAGCAGTGAAACTTTAATTTGTCCTTTCATTACACTGATTTACAACCAAAACGACAGCAACTGATGCTTTTTAACGTGTGTGTGTGTGTGTGTGTGTGTGTGTGTGTCTCCCTTACACAGGTGCCATCACCCGTTTCACCCAGTTCACCTGCTTTTGTGTGCTCACGGAGTTAGACACTGTTGATTAGAACACTTGCACCCGTTTGACACAAACCCACTGGTATGGGGAGAGGAAACCAATATCTGGAGAAACGGGAAAAAGATCTTCCACACTTTTAAAGACACAGATGCACTCTTAATGTCACTGCGTTGGATTCTTCTTTTTCTTAATTATAAAAGGGTTCTGTTAAGGTAATGGTGCAATGAGTATTAGAAATATGACCTTAAGAACCATATGGCATGAAAATGAAGCCCATTTTAAAGCTTTTAAAGGCACGGAGTGCTCATGAACCAAACACCATCTGTATTCCTCTCAGAGAAATGAGTACATAAACAGGATGCAGTGGTTGTGTGTGTGCCATTATGAAGAACATGGCCAAGAATTAGATTATTTATGTTTATGTAACATTTTTGTTACATAACACCCCTTTTTAAAAATCTAACGGTTTTATTTTAGAATCTGGTTTTTAAAATGTCTGTCAATTTATTTATGTACTTTAAGTGAAGGAGATTTTATTTTTTTATTTATTATCTTCCTTATGGTGATTTACTTTGGCACAAATGTGTCAGTTCTCTTACAGTTTTTGGAGTGTTCTGTCTTGGCCAAAGGGTTCAAGTTTCAATTTATTTATATAGCACATATAAAACAGCCACACAGCTGACCAAAATGCTGCAGATTCAAAAATAGTAAAAAAAAAAAAAAATCAGCACAACCAAACTATTAAAACAGGGTCTCGCCCTAATAATAAAAAAAATAAATATAATAATAACACGAGAAACAACGTATAAACCCTTAGAAGACTAAGCAAAGACCATAATAGAAATTTATTTATAAGCCAAAGAAAACCGATGTTTTTAGGAGAGATTTAAAAGTGGACAGAGAAAGGGCAAGTCTAATCTCTAAAGGGAGGTTATTCCACAACTGCGGCCCAACCACCAAGAAAGGTCAGTCCTGTATAATTACCCACATGCCTTAGCTGGTTTTTAGAGGGAAGGTGATTGTATGCATTTGAACATTCAAATCTGCTGCTATGCTTCTGTACATGTAGTGAAGCATCACATGTTCGCTTGTGGAAAGAGTTAGGAAAGAATAAAGATGAATAGGGTTCATACACATTTCTACCAATAAATTTCCATGAATTTTACATGACTTTTGAGACAATATTCATGACCTAATGTTCCATTATTTTACAAGTATACATGTAAAATAAGAATAAAAATCTGTTAAAATGGACCTCTATTATCTGTGTTCTTAAATTCTGTTAACTTCGATTTCAGTTTTAAACCAAAAAAAAACAGTCCCAATGAAAACATATTACAATACTAAGTGTCATGAAAATTGCTCTTGAATCATTCAGTTTCCAGAAAATCATCTTTAAATGTCTGTTGGCCAAACAAGCAATACATTGTTACTGGTGAAAATCCCAGTAATCTCAGGATGGAAGTCCAGATGTGATTTAAACAGGTCATTCTGATAAACGTTTACCTTGTAGCATGAAACACACTGAACAGCTTTCCAACTATTGTCATTTATGTACAAGTGTTTCTATTAATTTATTTGAAAGAATATCAATAAAACTTTATATATATATATATATATATACACCAGACAAGAACTGTTTGAATAAGTAATTAACGAGATTTGCAGTTTAATTCTGAAGTCTTTATTTTTTTTATACACATCTACATATTTACAGGTATTTTGTTTCTCACCCCTTAGATACGGGGAATGTACAAACACTACACACATAACTGACAGCACAAAGCACCCCACACTTACACAAACTCAAGATATCACCATTTTCTCTCCATACTATCTTCACATCAAACAAATCGCAAAATATCGCAAATAGTAAATCACTCGTCTCATTAACGCGCAAGTCAAAGCATCCCACACAAGTACACGCACATGGACTACCACACACATTCACTCTTGACAAAAGAACATACAGCTTCACTCAACACACGTCAGTAAAAATGGCCTCTCTCATGCTCGTACCTACACACAGAGGCTCTCAGTCATAATCATTATACTCTCGTTCCTCCTCGTCTTCATTCTCATCTCGGTCATTCTCCAACTCCACCATGTCCCGCTGGTACTGATCCCTGCTCCTCCTGCTGTATGAGTGCTCTTCACTCCAGAATCCTGGAGAGAAAAATACATTAGATGTATGACGATATTCAACCTGCGCTTAAGGTCTGTGTTGAGGACGTAAACCAGGTCTTCAGAAAACAGAAGACTAGGAAAGCTTCAGGCCCAGGCAGTGTTTCATCTGCCTGTCCAAATCTCTGTGCTGACCATCTGGCCCCCATTTCACACAGGTCTTCAACAGATCTCTGGAGCAGTGTGAAGTTCCCTGCTGCTTTAAACACTCCACTATCATTCCGGTCCCCAAAACCCCCCAAATCACTGGACTTAATGATTACAGACCTGTGGCTGTCACGTCTGTGGTCATGAAGTCATTAGAGAGACTGGTCTTGGCCTACCTGAAGGACATCACTGGACCCTTGCTGGATCCTTTTCAGTTTGCCTACACAGCAAACAGGTCTGTGGATGATGCAGTCAACATGAGACTGCATTACATCCTGCAACACTTCGACAGACCTGGGAATTATGCAAGGATCTTATCTGATCATGCCTGATCTTCTCTCAGCCAAACTAACCCAGCTCTCCATACCCACCTCCATCTGTCAGTGGATTAGCAGCTTCCTGACAAACAGGCAGCAACTAGTGAGGTTGGGGGGGAACTCCCTTCCAGGACCCAAACTATCAGCACTGGTGCCCCTCAGGGTTACGTTCTCTCCCCACTGCTCTTCTCCCTGTACACAAATGACTGCACCTCTAAAGACCCCACTGTCAAGCTCCTGAAGTTTGCGGATGACACTACAGTCATCGGCCTCATCCAGACTTGTCTGCTTACAGACAAGAGGTTGAGCAGCTGGCTGTCTGGTGCAGTCTTATCAACCTGGAACTCAACATGCTCAAAACAATGGCGATGATAATGGACTTCAGGAGAAGTACAGCTCTTACTAGTCGACACTGAAAACAATAGTCAATTACACGACAGAAAAAAGAAAAGAAAAACAAAAACATGATTTTTTCATTCAAATTACCATCATTTTAACATTGCATTTAAAACATTTTAAATAACAAGTTAAAATAAAACGTTTGAAAAAGAATACATTATTTTTAAAAGTTTATCTGGGCGGAAACTACATTTTTACCTCAGACCTCACATGCGTTTTCTTCATGTCAGTTGCAGCAAGTTCAAAAATGACCATGCGAAAGACGAGAAGGTGTGGGATTATTTTGAATTAGAAGAAAACTGAAAAGTTTTGTGTAAACTGTGTAATGTCAAATTGTCTTACAATAACTCTACTGGAGCGATGCGTAATCATATTCAATACAGGCACGTAATTTCACTGAACAAATAACGCATGGTCTGAGTAAGTAAAATGGGCATTGTTTTGTTTTTAGACAATATAGCCTACACTAAGTATGTTTTTAAAAGCCGGTTTAATGCTATTTCTTGATAAACCTTCCTATTGTTGTGTGTTTTAATATGTTGGCTAACGTTATATGAAGATTAAGAATTCTGTCAGGCTATTGATTGATTTTCCATTGTTCTGCATTTCCCCAGCTGATTTGAATAAATAAGCTATGCTTTGACCAATGTTGAGTGTATGCTCTTCTTTTTTTTCTTTTTAATGACCACCTAAAATAAAATGATAAGGCGAGGCCAGTGTGCTGCAAGCAGAATTCACTGAGGGATTTGACAGTGTGATTCATAGATTAAGTATTTCAAATATAGGCTATTATATATGCTACACGCACGCACAGAGGTTTTTTTTTTTCTTACCATCTTTTGGGGGTTTCTTGCTTTTAGACTAGTCGACTAGTCGGATACAAAACGTTCATTTAAACGACAGTCAAATTAGTCGTCGCGCACATCCCTAGTCTGTACTTTCTGTACTGGAAGCTCCTGTCACCAAGACAAATTCCTTGTGTGTGTAAACACACTTGGCAATAAAGCTCTTTCTGATTCTGACAAATGTTTTACTTTAAACCACAATATTATGCTCTTTTTAGAATCATGACATAGTATTGGCTGTTATAATATACATCATAAGCCGATTCAACTGCAAACTATACTCTTTAATAAGAAGCTATTTGCTTTTCTTGTTTTATTTCTTTTTTAATTTTTTTTTAAGAAATCGAGTAAAATTAACCTTTAAAATGGTAACACTTTATTTTAAGGTGTCCTTGTTACACGTACTTACTATTATTATAACAATTAATTATGCATAATTACATGCAAGTAACCCTAAGCCAAACCCTAATCCTAACCCTAACCCTAACCACATAGTAAGTACATGTAGTTAATTAATATTACTCAGCACTTAAATGTATAATTACACTGTAACAAGGACACCTTAAAATAAAGTGTAACCTAAAAAAATATTCAAAAATGATGGGCCTGAGAGAAAAAAATATATCACTTAGATGTATGACCTCCATAACGCTCCTCTGCATCACTGCCATCCTCACTGCTCTCATCTGGGTAGTCATTTCTCCAGTTGGTTTCAGCATTCTCATCATCCTCATCTTCATACACCTCTTCCTCCCAGGCCACTTCATCAGGGACCTGTGTAAGAGGAAAATCAAAAACAAAAAAACAAAACAAAACAAAACAAATTAAATCCAGGTAAAAATGTGTCAGAGATGTTCTACTAACCAGGGTTATTATAATTAACATTTATTAAAACTAAAACTGTAAAAAAAGCATTTAATTTAAAGTATGCTCAAATAAAACAATATAAGTATTAGATGAAAAAAAAACTAAACGGAAATTAGAAATGCTGCTTGCTAACTAACTGAACTAATTTTAAGTTGAAGCACTAAAATCACTAACTGGATATAAACTAAATGTCAACTAAAACTAAGAAATAAACTAAATTGTAATATTAAAAAAAACTAATAATGACAAAAAATGTGACTAAAATTGAAAATATAAAAAAACAAAAGCTAATACAAAAATATAATTAATAAAAACTATAACAGTATATAAATAATACTAAAATAACACTACAACTAACCAGCTCTCCCTCTTGTGTGTAGGGTCTGACAGACAGAATGTCTTGGATCCAGCCTGGTGCGGCCGTCTCCTGGTAGTACAAGTCATACACGTAATCGTCCTCTTTCTCTCGATGTTCAGTACCGAGCCCATCACCTGACACGCTCAGCTT